TAAGTCCAGACAGGAACAACATATTTTCATTATTTTTGGTGTGTAGGTAGCTGAGAGAGAGATGTACATAATTAAATGCAAATTATGCAAATGAGGACTTTATTTGCATAATTAATGAGGAAATTCTATAATTACAGTGTTTTACGATATCTCGCGATCTGGACATGCTAGGGTCATGAAATTTTGATGGAAGGTAGCTCTCGTGCTTGGGAAGAAGTCTTATGAGTTTGGGCCCCCTAGCGGCTTGTTCTGGAACTGCAGGGCACTTTCTGGCGAAATGTTTAAAAGCCAATAAGTCCAGACAGGAACAACATATTTTCATTATTTTTGGTGTGTAGGTAGCTGAGAGAGAGATGTACATAATTAAATGCAAATTATGCAAATGAGGACTTTATTTGCATAATTAATGAGGAAATTCTATAAGTACAGTGTTTTACATTATACTACTTACATACATGTAATGTATGTAACCTATGGCAGGCGGAACTTCAACAGATACTAATTATGCAAATGATGACCTAATTTGCATAATTAATGCGAAAATTCTATGGTTTCGTAATGGTGAATGATGAGACATCTGTAAGTTAATCAAAATTTAACATACATCACGATGCATATATCATGTTAATGCAGAGGTCATTTGCACAATTAAAGAAGAAATTTACATTTACATATCAAGATCATATTTCATGGAGGTATGAGGTCTCGGAATTCTAGTTGCATATGTAAATGTCCCAATTACGTGGCCTGAATTAAAACAAGAAATACCAACATGAGTGTTAAACCTTTCAGGTTTAATTATCCAAGATGGTGGACAATATTACGTCAAAGTCAAGACATAGAAACACCATATAATCATCTTTTTTTCATAATATCATAAAAGTTCATTTGTGTTCAACTTGGTAGTTACATGTTTAGAGTCAAAACACCGAACAAGACTATTAGTTGAGAGGGGTGAAGGAGGCCATATACATCAGGGCCCATCACCCTTCATTGAACCGCGACGGGGGCCGACATCGTCTACCAGATACCTTTGACCCAGTGTTGACGTCACACTTCAAAGAAGCCACGTGACAAGCTTCACTGGGTCAGTCTACTGAGGAAGACCAGAGCGACTGGTCGAAAGCTCTAGGTAAGAGATCACAGATGAACTTTCATGACAAAAAGTTTTAACTCTTAACTGTTTTTTTTTTTTTTACTTCAGACGACTCATACCAGTAGATGAAGGCCACGTCAGCAGTGTGTGTAACGGAGGGAGAAGAAGATACAGAACATGCAATCGACAGGTCAGTTTTCCTTGGGAAAAATAAATACAGGGGTCAATGGACCTATTGCATTATTACGTCACAGTTTGTTTACCGCAATGAATGCCGGTCAATCAATGTTTATATTGTACAGGGGTGCGTAGCGCGGTGTGTGTTTGTGCAACGTTAGCCTTAATATAAGGTCTTTATACAGTACTACATTCGTGTACTGTCACAACTAAATCACCCATTGCGGCATTTAATGCTGTGTCAAAAAAACTAAACCCAGCAAAAATCAAACACATCTGAGTTTGAAAACTTAAAATGATCTTTTTTTCTTTAACTGACCGTTCTAGGATGTTCTTTAGAACAGGTAAACAAACTGTGACGTAATAGTGAAATAGGTTCATTTGTTCTGGAAATCGTTTCATTCTGTGTAATATATATGCAAAAAAAATTACTGGTGACGTAGGGGCTAGAATAAAATCATCATGACTACGCATGTGTGGGGCATGCGCAGTGGTGTACCCAAGATACATAGGCCTTATTTTTCCCAGCATGAAATGGGAACTATAGTTTCAGCATATGACACTTTTTTATGGTCACTTTGACATTGATTAAGAAATTGATATTGTCTGTAGACAATATTGTCTGTAGATAATGTTATTTCTTTATTTCAAATAATTGCTTATAAGACGTACAGAGTTTTCTAAAAAAACAATGTTTCTCAGCTTACATACTCATAATATAAAACAAGTGATTTGCTTATGGACGGTAAACATATTAGAGGATAGTCAATAAAGATAATAATAATAAGGTTTCAATTTTTTTTCAGTCGTGTCCGCCAGAGAGTCGAGATTTCCGGTTACTTCAGTGTGCGGCGAACAAGGCTAGCGCTAGTCAGGACTGGACACCGGTCTACATTCCTAAACCTAACAGAGGTACAGTGTGAACACACAGTAAAATGTTTAACTTTATTTTAACACACAGGTTAAACAGAGCATCAAATTCTCAGCGACCACCGTTGTATTCATATGGATCATTAGTGACAAATCACTTTAAAACGTAATCTCGCGAGAGTTACGGTTACAGACACGTGACCTCATTCACACGAGACTTTACTGATACGTGACGTAAGCAATTGATCAAAAGTGCCAGGGAGTTTATATCGTCCACCATCTCTCTAAGTTATGGCTGGAGTGCTCTGATATATATGGTCTCCTTAATGCCTCTTAAAAAGTAGTCCTGCTCTGTTTGACCTGTGTGTTGGAATAAACGTCAAGATTTTGCTTATGATTATAAAATATGATTACTAACAACTCTCTCTTTCTCTTTATTTCGATACCGTTTAGCCAAAAAGCTTATCTTTCATGTAATCTTAAAAGGCTAATCTTCCAACACAGATGAACTTTCATAGCAGTGTGAACACATGCTAAGAGCAAGTACGGTACACGTATATCACTGGAAAGTATATGCCAATATGCAACTGAAATAACTGAAATCAATCATCAAAAGGAATCATTTTAAAAATATTTTCAAGCTAAACTAGTTCAGTGAGGTAATTTTGCTCATTTGCATTACCAACATCATAGGTACATTAAACTCCACTTGAATAGAAGTTTTTTGATCACAACTATTTATTTTTCACGAGCCGACATTTCGATGACCGTCTGTCACCTTCATCAGGGTTATTCCTACTATTAAAATACAATTACACTACGTTCCGGAATGCATTGTAAGCAGTAAAAACTAGCTTAAGTGCACTGTGAACTATGTAACACCTTTAGTGCACTATGCACCAAGTAACATCTAGCGTCAGTGCACAGTAAACCAGTCAGAATTGCCCTGATGAAGATGACAGACGGTCATTGAAACGTCGGCTCGTGAAAATGGTTGTGATCAAAGAACTTTGCTATTCATTCGTTTACCAACCTGATGAAGTTATTTACGGATATTAAACTCCACGTGTATTTCAGGACACCGGAGACGCAGTCGAGGCTGGGGCCGGACCTCCTCAGTCAGCCCCTGTGAACTGAGGTGTAAAACCCCGGATAACCAGGTCCGGGACTTCGGGCATGTGCAGGACGGCACCCCGTGTTACCGGGACTCTACTGATATCTGCATAGCAGGGCGCTGCCAGGTATGTTATTACTTCAGTCTTTTGGCGACGCCATACGACGGTGCGGGGTAAAAATGTGATTCCGAAGTTTTTTTTTTTTTTTTTTAATTCCAACATGTAATCACCAGACGTTGTGACGACACACTCAAGTTTTTTCAACTTATATTAATGCCGCCACCAACACAGGGGACAAATACATGACAGGACAATACTCATTTACACCTGAGCTAAGTGAGGAAAGCCGTGTAAACTGCCTTTCCCAAGGGCACAAGATCGGTGGCATGTCAGGACTCGAACTCGGGACTGAAAGTTCCGAGTCGCGCACTCTGCCGCTACGCCACACGACCCCGAAGTTTTAGAAAGGTTGTAGAAGTCAGTGCACTTCTGATATGTGGATAAAGTACTAGTTGTATGGCAATCAAATACAATTAAAAACAATTAACAATATAATAATGAAAATATCCAAAGAAATTTTCTGTATTATTCTATGTCTTATTTTACTTCTCTCCAATACACAGTCAGAGGCTATGTATTAAAAAAACATCACAATGGCATGTTAAAAAAGATAACGACACAAACACTAGGCACACAAAGCTTTTAATATTAGAATGGATGTTCATTTGAGTTGGTATA